AGGACAAGGAAGAGGAAGGAAAGATCGCGCGCGGTTCGTGGACCGTTTGTACGGGTACTGCTCCGGCATTCGTCTGGTGTTGATCGGAGAAAACATGGAAAACTGCTGATCAGAGCAGCCGGCTGGTAGAATTGTCCTCCAAACAGCGACTGAATTCGATCAAGCTAGTGTCGAAAAACCTATCACCGTCGAAATTCGAACCTAGGACCTCCCGGTCAGAGGCACCGTAGTGACATCAGTTCATGCCCTGAGCTACCTTTACCGGTAATGGCGCCTTGTAGAGGTGAGACGGGCGTCTTTGGAGACAACAGTCAACCATGTTACGTTTACCTCCATCTCAAATACTCTAAACGTTGAACCCGCTGAATGAACAGCAGATGCTTCGACGACAGTGAAATTAAAATGTTAGGAGCTATAAAAAAATACGCTAGCCAACACAAAATAGATTCGCAAAAATTAGCTTTCTAACCCCATTCCCTTGTGTCATCTCGTAACTTTCTTTCTCCACTCAGATAAGGTAAATGTTCCGTTTAGACCATCCCACTTCCTTAATTTAAAATAAAAGTAAAACTTGAACATTAAATGTTTCATACACTGTAGTATTCCATACTTCGTACATTAACAATTTTTTAATTTAAACTTCTTTATATAAATATATAATAAACTTCCTTAATTTAAAATAATAGTAAAACTTGAACATTAAATGTTTCATACACTGTAGTATTCCATACTCAGTACAGTGACAATTTTTTAATTCAACACGGGATAGATTATGAAAAATTATATCAATTCACTTTTATGAAAGTCGCACGAACATTAGAGACCACATAAGTTACATTATATTAATTTCAAAGTCTAAATTGTTGGTATTATAAATATTCAAATAACATATCAGAATTTCAAAACAACAAAGCAAACTAGGAAAAATAAAATTTGATACCTGGAACATAATACCTGATTACTTTTCTTAAGTAATATGCCTCAGTTGTTTTCAACACATTTAGACAAAACAAGTTAATAATAACGAATAGATTGCGTTGCAATTAGATCGCAAATTTAAATAAAAATTGGGGTCATTTAAGTGATAATTTGGAAAATGTTCTAGCAAGGGCTTACTTGTGCTGGCTGAGAATGGTCCAAGATGTGAAAAAATTAAATATAGTTTTAACACAATATTGGGTAATCATAACAAACGGGTTAACACATGTACGAAAATACGCCGTGATTCATAACAATGACGAGATAAAAATCTCAGTGGGAAGAAAGACTGATGATCCACGCGGGTTATTATGTTTTAGCACCTTGGCATTTAGAGAGTTTACCGAACGATGATGAGATAACTAGGACAGACACACTCAGAAGGTTTGTACTTTTGTGATAACGGTTGGTTCTTTCTGACCCATTAGTCTCGCTCACAACCCAAAATGCATAATCACTTAGTCATAGGAATCTTCCATTGCGATCACTAACGCAGCGAGACAAAAATTAATCAAACATTAAATTTACAAACCTGTGAATCCAAGACATCCCGTTGCTAAGACGTGAAAATTATTTTTTTTTCTGATCGGTAGTACCGTGAGGTTCCTCCGATCAATCCAAGGGGAATGGCGGGGTAGTGCCCTAACAAAGGGGCCACAGATCGCGCGCTGTCTTTCCTTCCTCTTCCTAGTCCAATCCTCTCCACCTAACTTACACACCGACTACATGAACTGCACGAATACTCTGGAGGTTAGAGCATCTTCCGGCAGGGGGGAGGGGTGCCCGGCTGGAGGGGGGAGGGGAAGACACTGGAAACCTCTGGGGGAGAAAACGTGCACTATATGGACAATAGACCCCCCAGAAGGTTTACGAATCCTGAAACTATATAATCACTTTTCGCCGCTACCATAGAGTTAATCATGTATAAAGTTCACATTATCCAATGTGTGTGGATAAAGTCCGAAGTAAGAACACTACAAAAGGTGTTTGGCGAGCACATTTCCGGAAGTGGGGGAGGGCTGGAAGGGGGAAGAAAACTGAAAACCTCTGGGGGAGAAAATGTGCACTATATGGACAATAGACCCCACCAGGAGGTTTACGATTCCTGAAAATATATAATATTTTTTCGCCGCTACCATTGAGTTAAACATGTTTAAAGTTCACATTATCCAAAGTGGGTGGATAAAGTCCAAAGTAAGAAAACTACAACAGATGTTTGGCAGGCGCATTTTTCGACGCAAAGAGATATCGTGTGAGGAGAGTTCATGCAAATAACATGTTCATCAAATCAGGTTTTTCGGAAACAGCGAAAAGCTGATTGACGACAAGTTATCGCCTTTTCAAAGAATTTAATAAGTAGTACTGGTCATCAGTATAGTTACAATAGTCTATAAATACTGCTATCAAATCAGTTATCTATAATTATGATGATGTTTCAGGTTAAAAGTTGGACATATTTGCTTTTGTCCAAAGCATCAGCGAACATGTTTGTATAGTATAGGTCTACAATTATTATCATCACATTATTTTATTGGAATAAATTATTTTACTGCAGTTTGTATGCAACTATTTTATTTTCCCAATACAATGTGGCTAATGAAACTATTGTTAGGCCTTTAAAGAAATTACAACGAACTAAAAAGAAATCGAAATCTATATCTGCCAGCCATGATCATCCTGTGAAGAATAACAATTGTCTTTCAATTCTTGACTATCCCTTACAGATTGATTTTCAGATGTTGGTCCATCAAGATCAAAGGAATAAAATTCCAGGCCAGGAGCATGTGAAGAATTATCTCCATTCATCTCCTAAACTTTCAGTCAATAGACCTGCTACATTATATCTCTTTGCCAATACCTCTTTGCCCTTCCAAGTGACAACTGCTGAAGGTTTAATTGTACCATATTTGTTAATGAAAAACCACGTTTCCGAAGGTTCAAATCAGGAACTTCGTCAAATCTAAAACATTGCTGTGGGTTAACTTTGATTGTATGAATCTTTTTCCATTCATTGTTTTCAAAATAACCATGCTTCACATTTTTGGTGTTCATGCGCATTCTACTACGTTTTTGTGACCTGCGGATCCCAATCTTCTAATAAATAAAATAGGACGCTGTTGTGAAGACTTAACAGACGGAATGACCCACGTGCAGTCGGGTGATCGTGAATATAGGTATCTTATTGATTACAAGGACACGTTTAATGCTTGCAACAAAGTTATGGACATGTTGGATTTTGCCTGAGTCTCATATGTTTACAAGTAAAATTATTAGTAATATATTTACCTTTGCTCATCCACATCAGGTCAGAAGATGGAGTTGACGGTCATTAATATTACTGCAATGCTAACTCAATTCCCCCCCCCCATGGACATGTTTGTTTTTGCATGAACGCTCTTCCTGTAATACCTACCAAACACCAGGGCACGACAGCAGGCTTAACCATTAGGATAAAACAATTGAAGCCATCTTTAGCAACTCAGATTTATTGAGAAAGCCGGCTTTCAACGGCGCATCAGTCTAGCAAAGTACAAATAAATACAAAATCTTAAAATCATTAAGAAGAAGATAATACAAATAATGCAATTAATACAAGAAATTTACATAAGTTTGTTTAAAAATTGTTCTCCAAAAAAAATGGGGGTATAATACAAATAATGAAACTGAAAAAGAAATCTTTCTAAAAACAACATCAAATGAAATTTCAAAAAGTAAAACAGAACAAGTTGAGCCTCTTATCTCACTATTTGTCGAAAGTCGGGAGACAGTGCATAGAGGGAAGTTTGAAATACAGTTTAAATATATTTCTGGGGCTGCAGGTGAGGGTGAAAGGGGAGGTCTGGTTAGTGTCTTCTTGGAACTGTCTCAGGAGGCGGGGAACAATCCATTTCCATGCGTCCCCTCTGCCAATCGTTTCACACACCCTTGTCCCACAAAGTGAACTCCCCCCCCCGCCTCCATAATGTGGCGTCACCAAATAATATTATAATAATTTCGTATCGAAATAGCTCCCATCACAG